CTTGAAAGAAAGAGAATAGATTTGTCTTGGTATGGAGTGAGTCACCTGGGATGCTCTCTAAATAGGATGAACCTGAACAGTTGTTGTTTCCCAAGATTACTCCCTGGGGACCTGGAATGCCAACAAAATGAGTCTGTTTTCCCAAGGGGATTTCTCAAGCCTATTTTCTGTTTGTTTGTTTGTTTGGTGTTTTATTGAGAGTGACAGCTTTCACAGTTGGGATGGGTATTTCTCTAAGTTGAGACAATCCTAAAGATATCAAGAACCCTTACTACTTGAAGTAAAGACACAGTCCATACATCACACTGTCTAAAAAGAAAAGGATAATAACTCATAAGACAAGCCTCTCAACCAGAGGTCACTCCCAGTGAATTAAAACACCAAAGCGTAATGCAGTCATTGAATGCCATGTCTGATATCAAGGGCACCCATAAAATTAGCTGGGAACAGAGCCCCTGGGGTAACCTCCATAACCAGTGTCTGAAAAGCAGGACAAAGATGACCCCAAAGCTGCAAACAAAACAACACACAAGAAAGCACACAGGAAACACACATTTTACTTTTTTACAGACAAATAATAGCACAGATGATTAGGGAACTATTCCCAAGACTGCCACTTTCTCATAAATATTAACATAAACAAAGAAATCACATAAAATCAACTTTTTTTTAACCTTTTGAGATGGAGACTTGCTCTGTCACCAGGCGGGAGTGCAGTGGCTCGATCTTGGTTCACTGCAATCTCCACCTCTCAGGTTCAAATGATTCCCCTGCCTCAGCCTCCCAGGTAGTTGAGACTACAGGCAAGTACCGCCACGCCTGGCTAAGTTTTTGTATTTTAGTAGAGATAGGTTTCACCATGTTGGCCAGAATGGTCTCAATCTCCTGACCTTGTAATCCTCCCATCTTGGCCTCCCAAAGTGATGGGATTATAGGCATGAGCCACCACACCTGGCCAAAATCAACTTTAAACTTACATGTTTAAGGTTTAAATATTAAACACTCTCTCACACATAGTTTACAGGAGTAAGTCTAATTCCTGTGAATCCTTCCTTTTTAAAGCAATGAAGTAAAGAATTTTTTGGCCCTTACCATTTCAACTTCTAATATGTATGCAGCATCCTAGAGTTGACACTGAGGGGAACTTGCTAGAATCAGTTCTATTTCAGAAGGCTCTGCTGAGCCCCTACTATGTGCAGACCCAAGGCCACTGGGGACACAGGGCCATCTTTTTTCACAGTCTGGCAGAGAGGACAGGTTAATTCCATCAAAGGTCCCAAAAA